TTTTTAAGTACTTAAGCAAGGATGCAATAATTGATCAAAAGTGACAGTAAAGACATTTATAATGTTACAAAAAATATAAAATAAAAGGTGTTGTTGTAGTTTAACCGTCTATTCATTAATAAGTTCTGAAAAAAAAAAAATGTATCATGTTTCCACAAAAATATGAAGCAGCACTACAGTTTTTAACACTGATAATAATCAGAAATGTTTCTTGAGCAGCAAATCAGCATATTAGAATGATTTCTGAAGATCATGTGACACTGAAGACTGGAGTAATGATGCTGAAAATTCAGCTTTGATCACAGCAATAAATTACATCTTAAAACACATTAAAGAAAAAAAATGATATTTTTAATTGTAAAAATAATTCACAATATTACTGTTTTTATTGTATATTGTATAGCCTTGTTGAGTAAACTCTCTTACGTTGGGTAGCGGGCAGCAGCCGTATCCTCCTGATGGTGTTTGACAGCAGGTGTTTCCATCTTCACACATCCCTCCATCAGGACAAATCAGAGCGCCACACGCATTCAGACACACACATAATAACACTATGACACCCACACGCACCTGAAAAACAAGAAATGGGTGTGAACTGAACACCATTTGATTCTGTGTTTATGTGAGTTTTAATTATCTTTATCAAAAGATACACCTGCATAGTAGCACAGAACTTCAGAAGTTCAAGGCTGATTAGCTACATCGGCTTGCAAACACTTTAAATATATAATATAAATCTGTTAAAGTTATGATATATGAAGATCATTGAGGAATGTCTGGTAGAATTGAGTGAAAACTGAATTTCCATTGCATTTATTTTAAAACATTCCCCACGTCCGAGTGTCTTAGTTTGAACAAGAGTTTCTTCAAGACACACATTTCCCAATGTGTCGATTTATTGAGCAATACAACAATAAATATCGCTGACAATCTCATGACATATTGAGGTCAAGCCTGGTTGATGAACAATTGCTTCAGCAGACTTTTGACTTACTGAAGAACTGTCAACATGGTAAAAGCACTGTTTGATTTCATCTGTTGTTTGCAGTGCAGGCTTGTATCACAATATAAGAAATAATTAGCAAACTACTCACCATTCTGTGTGTGATTGTTGATCCACAAACCTAACGCTCTTTAAATTTTCAGATGCAAACCCATGAAACACTTTCTTGCGCTGAAACACAAAACATTAAAAAGCACAAACAAATCACATTGAATAAGTACTTCATAAATCACTTTGTGGCATCGATCATCAAAAAAAAAAAGGCAACACTAGCTGATCATATTTATTTTTAATTTATGAAAACTGATGTGTATTGCCACAAATGTCGTGTAATCTTACAAAGCTTCGTTTTGTGTTAAGTAAACAGTTAATATATTTTAAAGCCTGTCTTTGAAAGGCAGGAAGTCTGTTTTCGTTTAATCGATGATTGAAACCGCTTCATGTTAATCTGATGTTCTCATGTAACGTTTCTCATTGTTTCCGACGGAAGCGTGTGAGCGAAACCCTAAACAAAGACCTGTTTTATTAAAAACAGGATGACATTAGTACAAAGAGAAAGAACTTACCGTATTTTCACGAGACCAGTGAAGATATCAGAGTAAAACTGGACCCGGTGAAGTGGATATAACGCTGCTGAGCTCTGCTGAGTTTCACTTTATTTGTCTGTCATTTTATCACGTGACCTGAGCGTGTCATGTGACACTCCATGAGTCAGGCTTGTTTGTTCGCCTTTTTTTTAAATTATTATTATTAGGCATATTAACTTGAACACCAACAGAGATGTTCATTTAGTTTACAATGACAAATAGTTATGAAAACAATAAATATGAAAAAGTACAAAAAAATTATAATTTATTAAAACGTAAAATATAATATTTCTAACCTGAATATATAACTAATGAAACATTAGAAAATTATAAAATTAATAATAATAATAATAACAATATTATGCTCTAACCTGATTTTTGTTTTTACATGTATACACAGCACAGCAGTACAGTTTAAAATCATTTATTTAAAAAATGGTTTGGAGCCATACTATTTGTATGTTTAACTTTTCTATTCATTTTAATAAACCCAGGACGTCTGATGTTGGCTAGTTCAGAAAGCTAACCACTGAAAACTAACATTATTCAGTAAATATTGCTCTTATATGGGTGAATCTCACAAAACCTGTCAAGACATGTTATATATTGTTGCTCTTTTGTTAGTTTTGACTGCTTTTATTGTCCTCATTTGTAAGTCGCTTTGGATAAAAGCGTCTGCTAAATGACTAAATGTCAATGTAAATGTAAGACATGCCAAAAACAACATAAACAAACTGTATTTATGTATTAAGCGCCACAGCCTGCAGATCAAGTGTAAAAATGATGAATTCTTTGTCTTGTAACGAATAATAGAAGATAACATTTTGGGTGTGTTTTGATTATTTCAAAATTGATAATGATAATTTCAAATTACACAGAGCAATCCTTTAATAAAAGTCTTTCTTCGGCACAACAGAAAATTAGGTAATTGCGCTGCTATGAGAACAAAGTAAAAAAAAAACTTTTTGTACACAAATTAAAAGTCAAAGCAGAAAACGTAAAAGTTCATAACAGTACGTTTACAGGTTTTGTAAAGGGCAATCCTGGGTTTTTGCTCCATGGTTTTGCTCCTGGATTTGGTTTGTTGTTGTCAGATGGGAATGTTTTGATCTTTTCCCTCTGAAAACGGTCGTCTCCTCCCCGTCCTCTCCTTCTTCTTGCTCCAGTCTCCCTCTCTTCACAAAGTGCTGGATCCTGGACTCCAAACTCTCGCAGCGCGGCCGGTCCAGAAGAGGCTGGTACTTCCTCTGCCTGGAGCCCTCCATGAGCCAGCACTGCAGAGATGTCATCTCTAAAAAAACAGAAACAAAAACTGTTTTACAGTGGTTTTTACATGCTACTTTTTAGATAAACATCAGGCAGTGTGTTAGCATTCCAGACAATTAATAAATCATTTTTGAGTAGTAGTTTCAGTATGAACACACACCTGTGGTTGTTTTCTGAAGGCCTTGGATCATGCCGAGCAGAACTTGGGTTTTCACTGCGTTCTGAACCCAGTGCTGGTGCAAAGAGTTCAGGACGTGGTTCTCCTCCTCCGTTTCATTCCTCCAATTCACACCCTCGAAGTGGCAGTCATACAAAACCAAAGGGTAATCCACCGCCATACTATAAAACATAGACAGCTATGATTAACATTTACTCATTTAGTCAAGAAAATGAAAGTTCCTATAGATCTGAAGTTCAAAGATCTGAAGTGAAAGATCAAGTCTAAACGGAGCACTAAGCAGCTTCACGTGGAATCCAGGATTAGCTGAGGAAACACTCAAATAAATCTCACCTGTATTGAGGTTTCCTTGGGTTTTTCTCCACATCCAGCAGCTGATCAATGATTTCTGGAGCTTCGAGTTTCTGTCCAATGAGTAGCAGCAAAGCCATCATGCAGCGAACCTGGAACAGCAAAGTTAGTGGTTATGTTTAGAATGCAATACTAGCTACTACTGCTAAACACATTTTTTCTTTTAAATGGCAAGGACACCTTGATGACTTCAAAAAAATCTAACAGAGCAAAAATCTACAGGAAAATAGTACCAAAAACAAAGATCTTTAACTTACTGAGACAGTTTCTAAAAAGTTATTGACTACTACATATTGAAGACATCATTTCAACCGATTTATAAATATCAACTGTTTTGATTGCACCCAACAATATTTGAAAATGTATTTTAATCTATGGTCACGCCTACTTTGTTAAAAAATAACTATTAGAATCAAAATAATTCAATTTATTAAATAGTTTTAGGAGCTGAATGCTCTTCAGGTGTTAAGATTTTATTAATAATTAATAATAATAATTATTATTATTATTATTAATAATAAATTATTATTAATTATTAAGATTGTATTAATTTACTTGACTTTTCCAGGCAATGTTATTATAGTTAACTATAACTAAAATCAAGAGAAAACATTTCTGTTAAATTTAATGTAAACTGAAATAAAAATAAAATACTTAAAAAAAACGTATTTTATGTCAGCTAGTTGGCAAGCAAATATTTCTCATTTTTATTTAGTTTTGGTTAATGTACTAAAATAACTGAAAACTGAAATACAAATGAATAAAAACTATAAAGAAATATATATTTTTTAAAAAGGTAAACACTGCAAGGCTTAACTTATTAAAAAACAAAACTGGTAGGTTTTATTTAATAACATTAGTTAACTACATTAGATAACATGAACTAACAATGAAAAATACTTCTACAGCATTTATTACATTTAGATCATATTAGTTTCAATATCTACTAATACATTATTAAAATTCAGAACTGTATTTAATAACATTAGTTAATGCACTGTGAACTAACATGAACCAACAATTTCATGTTTACTAACATTAACAAAGATGAATAAATGCTGTAAAAATGTCACTCATTGATAGTTCATGTTAGCTAATGCATTATCTAATATTAACAAATGAAACCTTTTTGTAAAGTGTTACCACAAAACCTAATAATAAGACAAAATGACAAAAACACAAACATTAAATATTAATATAAAACCTCTGAAAATGGAAAATATAAAAAATAACTTATTCAAACTATTAATAAAAACTATAATAGTATCTCAATGATACGTCCAGTTTAAATACTTAAACACTGTTTTCAGGTCTAGAACCCAAGACAGTGGAATTTCTAGTTAAAACATAAAATAAGAAATACCTTGATTTTTAGTTGTTTTAGCTGATTCTAAAGCTTGTTTTGTCTAATTTTATATAATTTATTGAAGCCCTCTGAAGGCCTCCAGTTTGAGATGAGCTCCTTACCTGGTGATAGAGGAAAGCAAGACCTTTGACCTGGAAGACATAGAGTTGGTGTGGATCATTAGGGCAGGTGGGGTTAAGCTGGGCTGGCTGGATGGAGGCAGACAAGATGGTCCTTTGGAACCGCAAGACTCCATTACCTACATCCATCTTACAGATGTTCCTGAAATCATGTGTTCCCTCATACCTGCATCCCCAGAGGAACATAATTATCCACTCAATTGTTGTCCACTTTTATAATGAAATGTTCAGATACTTTTTGATTGACTGTATATTATTCTTTAAGCAGACAGTACAGTATGTGTTGATGTTGTGATCTACTGACCGTTTAGCAGCCTCTGCCATGAGATCCACGTCTAAGTCTCCACGAGGGAAGTAGTATCTGTATGTTCTGGACTGGCAGTCGAAGCGTGCACTGAAGCCGGTTTCTACAGGAGCCCACTGCAGGATCCTAATGTCCTGTGGCAGGACTCTATTTAGCATCTTCACGTAGGGTAACTCTTCTGCAGACGCCTTGCCTTTGACCTCCACTCCAGCTGGGACAGTCACACCTAAACCTCCTCCATACTGTGTTGAGCGCACATCAATGGATATGACCTGGTGGAGAAGAGGGTAAATATCAGGAATACATGACTTTAAGAAATATGAAAATAAATGTATGACTATTCAGATCACAAAAAACCAGCACAAATGTCATGCCATAGTAGTAGTAACATATTCACAATTCATGTTATACTTTTAGTTATAATCTAATGATTATTTATTATTGTGTCAAATAACTAAAAATCTGTTTATATATTTGTGAATATCAAGAATCCATGACTATTCAGATCATTAAAAAGCATAAATATAATAGCATAAATAATTATTACTATTAATTATTAAATATTATTAGATATTTTTTATTAAAATATTCATAATTCTTGTTCTACTTTAAATTGTTAGTTTAATGATTGTTGTGTCAAAATTAAATTATTGAAAATTGGTTCTAAATATTAGTTCTCAGATGCAAAAATAAATTATATTGATGTATAAAATATTATTGTTTACATTTTTATTTTCCATTATTGTGGGAACGCTTGCAAATGTGACCCTGGACCACAAAACCAGTCTTAAGCGTCAATTTTTCTAAATTGAGATTTATACATCATCTGAAAGCTGAATAAATAAGCTTTCCATTGATGTATGGTTTGTATGGTATATGGTAGCAATGCATATTACTAATCAAAAATTAAGTTTTGATATATTTACGGTTGGAAATTTACAAAATATCTTCATGGAACATGATCTTTACTTAATATCCTAATGATTTTTGGCATAAAAGAAAAATCAATAATTTTGACCCATACAATGTATTTTTGGCTATTGCTACAAATATACCCCAGCGACTTAAGACTGGTTTTGTGCTCCAGGATCACAAATATGAAAACATGATCAATGTCAAAACTCACAAAATTCAGTAAATGCAGATGACAGTACCTGAGAGAAAGCACTGACTCCTTTATCTGTGCGGCCGCAGCGGTGATAGGTGGAGGTCTGTCGGTCCTGGATCAGTTTAGTCTTCAGCAGTGCCTCAAAAAGCCGGGCTTCAACGGTGTTGTCTGTGTTTTCCTGGACAGCGAAGCCCTGATATTGCCAGCCGAGATACGCCAGCCGCAGTGCCACATGTCTGCGAGGATGGACAGAGAAGTCAAAGGGCCTCTCTGCTCCTCGTTTCTTCTGTTTGGATCTGTTCTCCTCACCTTCCTGATGTTTTAAGCTCTCTGTCTGGAGACTGGCTGATGTTTCAGTCCTCTCCTCTCTCTTAGCTCCATCTCTCTCCACTTTCAGCTGAGCTTTCAGTCTCTCCACCTCCTCTTCCAAAGCCTTCACACGAGCCAGCACTGTTCTCCTCACCTTCCTGATGTTTTAAGCTCTCTGTCTGGAGACTGGCTGATGTTTCAGTCCTCTCCTCTCTCTTAGCTCCATCTCTCTCCACTTTCAGCTGAGCTTTCAGTCTCTCCCCCTCCTCTTCCAAAGCCTTCACACGAGCCAGCAGAACTTCTGACATGGCTATAACAAATACAGATCTGTGAAACAAATAACAGAGAGGGCCATATAACAGCTTTGCATTATCACCACACACGTGTGTGTATGTATATGAATGCAGTTCTTGCACACATTAACAATAAACAGAGATTTGTGCAATAATTCACAGTGGGCTTCAGGTATCTTCAGTGAGTAATGACTAACTAATGACTGCGTGAGTAATGACTAACGATGTGTAATAAGGTACATGTATGTGGTTCTCCTGTAGACTAGAGGTGTTTAATGTGCAAATCTCCACGTGTTTGCTTCCTATCAACTTTCTGGGCTTCTTAATCATTTCATAAAATATAGTTTATAAAACTACAAACATATTTTCATTTAACTATACTCACATCCTTCCCGAAGCTGCATTAAAATGCGAAAAGATAAATTCTGAACAGTAACTTTTAAACGCAGCACAATGTATTGGCTTCCGCAAGGCCACCCTTCAAAATAAAAGTCCTGACATATTTACAAAGACTTGAAGCACTGATTTATTCCACTGAATGTGATATGATTTCCTTATCTTCTCCATTATTTAAAATAAACAAACAATCAAAACAAAATAAAATAAAATAATAAAAATCAAACAAAATGCATAAATGGTAATGCATGAATGTTAATGTAAAATTTAATTATTGTCATTTTGCTGTAGTTGATTTCACCGTTTATTAAATAACAATTGAAATGTTATTATACATAATAATAATAATAATAATAATAATAATTTATCATTAAGATTTTATTTTTTATAATGTATTATATATTGCATTTATTTTTAATATGTGCCAATCAGAGTGGGTAAACTTGTCACAGTCGCCTTTGGCTTTCTTACTACTTTCTGTAAAGATGTTTGATTTATTGTAATAATAAATGCATTATACAACCCGCTTGAACTGGAAAGTGTAATAAAATAGTCCTCTCTTTGATGACAGTTTTCTATTTCCTCATAATTTTCTTCCTGAAAAACAGTGCGTTTATGTTTATGCTGCTAAACAGCCTCATAAAACTGCAGGTAGCAGTTGTTTATGTCACTATAGAGATCACACATCGAAAAGAATGGGATCATGTGATGAATACAACCGAGTTTCCCCCTTTTCTTTCAATCTCGGGTTCTAATTGGCTAAAGCTCCTCAAAGGCCCTTCAGACTGTCTCGTGATTGGTCGCCTGCTTTTCCATTGCCACACATTGCTTCCTGCTCACGCGAAAGAAAATCAATAGTAGAAAAGTTTACATTTTTAACTCTACATCTGCAGCACCGATGCCGCTGACGTCACATAAGTCAAAATGATACACTGTATCCGCAGCGCGCTGCTCGCGCTTTTATTTGTTACATTGTTGCAGTCGGTCTGCAGCGACTTTCAGACTCTCGCGCGTCTGAGAGCGAAAGCCAGCGATAAAACTCAGTCCAGAGCTGTGGTGGATCTGCTCCGGAGACTGCTGGGAAACAGATCTCGGGATTTCATCGTGTCAGTCAACAGGACTCTGTCTAATGACACTCTAGACGTGTGTGAGCTGCGATCCGCGAAGAACAACAAGATCCTGGCGGTGGGCAGCACGGGGGTCGCGGTGGCCACCGGTATATACAACTATCTCAAATACTTCTGCAACTGTCATGTGTCCTGGTCTGGAGATCAGTTAAATATCCCCCAACCTCTGCCTCCTCTCACCGGCGTCCTGCGCATCAACACCCCGCACAGGTAAATAGCTTAACAATTTAATTCAACAAAACACTTTTTATTCATTGATACTGTTTGATATTTTCAGTGATTAGAGTCAATAAATCGTAAGTAAAACCTATAGATTTATAATTCTTGTAAGTTTCATATGAATATTTGAAAGTTTTAAAACATAAAAATATTTTTGTTTAGCTTTTTGTACGGTATATTTGAAATTTTATTTGTCACTAACCCATAGGTAAATTACATTATAGATTGTCAGAAGAATGTCACAACCTCATGATATCGCAGTGTAAAAAGATGTCACAAAAGAGGTGATTTCAGGTTACAATGGAACGTTCTCAGAACTTTGGATAACGCTCTGGAAAGGCGCTTTCAAAGTTATGAACAAATGTTCTTCCAGTCACATTAATAGAACGTTTGTTCAGAGTGAAATGGTCTGTAATGTTCTCAAAATGTTAGCACAAAAACACTATTTATTTTATTTTTTTCCTGAACGCTTTATTTGAACGTTCATCTAACATTTTTTAAATGCTACAACTTGTTTGTTTCACAATGTTCAGAGAACATTAAGAAGTAATATTCTCATAATGTTTGCAAAATTAAAATAGAATTAAAGGGATAGTTCACCCATTACTCACCCTCATGTCGTTCCAAACCCCTAAGACCTTCGTTCATCTTCAGAACACAAATTAAGATATTTTTGATGAAATCCGAGAGCTCTCTGACCCTCCATAGATAAATAAATAAATATATTTTATACATTATTTCCAACTGTTAAACTAGCCTTTTTACGTTGTTCACCTTTCTACACTTTTCGTGCTACCTTCCATAATTGGACTAAAACAAAATATATATTAGTGATATATATCAGTGGGATATTAGTTATATTTGCCAGTTTAGATATTATTATATGATTAACATATTCCTCTTTACCCCAGTTCTAATTCTACAGACAGCTTTGTCACATACATAAAAATGTATGTATGTATGTTCTTTCTTTCTTTCTTTTGTGAATTTTGCATAAAATGTTTCCATCTGAAATATTTTATGAAATGTTTTCATTTAATTTGAGAAATGATCAGTTATTGAAAAATCTATATTGGCCAACCACAATTGATATACTGTGTATTACGTACAATAATTTCAAACGGACTAGCATTTAATATCTCTTAGCGCAGATATCAAACAAAATACTAGAAACTAGTATCACTAGTTTTCTCAGTGTGATTAAGTTGGACTATTTTTATGTATTTTGTTCAGATGTGAGCAACTATAATCAGCATTTTAACATGACAAATGCACACTTTAGATAAGATTGTCTGTCTTTTCCTTTCATTTGGTAATTTGTATGTTTCTGCAGGCAACTCGTCATTCTGTGAGCCGTAGTTTTTGTTTTTTCTACATGTTCTTGTGTCTCTCCAATCATGAGAGTGTGTTGTGTGTGATTTGCAAGACAATGAAAAAAGCAGCATTGCTGATACTCACCAATATTAATGTGGATGTTTTGTTGTAGCCAGACGTTTTTTTTGTTGTTGTCTTGTTGCGTGTTTGTCTTATTAGTTCTGCATGAGCTGGCCTGTACTATGTCACTCTCAGAGACGCCGGTGGACTGTGAATTCCACACAATGTGAACATGACGTTATGAATGAGGTCATGTTCATTACAGCTCCAAAACAGAAAATAGTATTTATTGCCAAGTATGTCACAAGTTGGAGATGTGGCGGTTAATGTGTGGAGGACCTACTGCAGCAAATTCATTTCATTTAGTGTTTGTGTGACTCTAGGTTCAGGTACTATCAGAACGTGTGTACCCAGAGTTACTCCTCCGTGTGGTGGGATTGGCCCAGATGGCAAAGGGAGATTGATTGGATGGCACTGAATGGCATAAATCTTCCTCTGGCATTCACTGGACAGGAGGTGCTATGGCAGGAGGTGAGAGGATTTCTTTCAAAAATGGCTGGTCACTTATAAATGAATATTTTCAAGTGTATGTTGTGTTTTATGTTTGTTTTCTTTTCCTGATGTACTGTAGGTTTATCTGTCTCTCGGTCTGAACCAGACCGAGCTGGATCACTTCTTCACAGGTCCAGCTTTCCTAGCGTGGAACCGCATGGGAAATCTGTTTCAGTGGGGAGGACCACTTCCTCAGTCTTGGCATGTCAAACAGCTCTACCTGCAGGTACTGAACAGTCTTTTGATAAGATACAATTGCTGAAAGAAATTCATTGCAGAAATGTGGTATTATTTTTCTAAGTGGTCAGAGTTAGGATTTTTTTCAATTTTTTATTACATATATTTTTAGCATTTTATTTTTAGGAACAATCTTGAACATACATCACATAAATTTGTTCTAAATAACAAACAATATACACAAGTAATATATAAAGAGAAAAGTAAATTGTTGTTAATAATAATAATAGTAACTTTTTTATCATATTACTGAGTGTATATCTAAAAATGGGTCGTAACTGGACTATTATTAAAACTTCCTAGCCCAAAGTTATAATAGAGGAATTTCACCTGGCAAGTGATAAAACCGGCAAAAAATAAATAAATTCCCTAGCCCTTCATTAAAGGGGTGGTTCATTGCGATTTCACTTTTTTAACGTTAGTTAGTGTCTAATGTTGCTGTTTGAACATAAACAATATCTGCAAAGTTACGAAGCTGAAAGTTCAATGCAAACGGAGATATCGTCTTTTAAAATTCTGGCGGTTTAATGCCTACAAAAACGGCTGGTAGGGACTACAA